GTCACTTGTTTTTGGAGATGGGCTTTAATTTAGTCATATACAGGAAAACCCTCATTTCCCCCTTAACTAGGAGTAATTATAGATATGTTTTGGGATTATAGAGCTTTAAAACTGACAATTTTTTTTCCAACCGTGACAATTATTACTCTATTAATTTAGGGAAAAAAATATAGTACTCCTATTTTCAAATTCTAAAACATTTTTACTTGATATTATTTCGTGAATACCCCTTAAATATTATTCGTAAATAATATGTATGCCCTTATTTGTGCACTTTCTCATTGTCTTAATAATCCTATATATGAGGCAATTTCTTTACTTTTTAATGCCCATGGTTACACATGCCCTTTCATTAATTACATACGTAGTATATATTAATATATTATGACTAAAATAAAGAGTTTATAAAAATGTGACTAGTGACTATAGTAGTAACTAAATCATAGTAACTTATGTTCAATTTTTAAACTTAAGTGATCATGACATTAAATTGTGGTAACTATTAGTCATATTTATGTAAATAAGTTTAATTTAGTAATATTTTTGAAAAAACTCTTCATATTCATCTCCCTAGTCTTTTTCTTGTCTCCCTAGTCAACAATAATCTAATCTAATGTAATCCAACCAAACATAATCCAATTTCCCTTTGGTTTTTATTTATTTGAACGTATATGTAGAACTTTCGTGGAATTAAAAGTGAGAAATAATGTGTACGAAAGAGTACAAACTAAGTAGGAAAGAAGAAATGAATGAAAGTGAAAATATAACAAGTTAAAAGTAGAAAACACAAGGATATTGTTTAATAATATATTTAAATATATAATGTGTACATGATAAACTCATTCAAATAAAAACGTTTTAAGAGATATATTTCATAAAAATGAATATGTTATAAGTAAATTTCGATAGATACTGTAATGAAAAAGTTGATAAATAAAGGTAATGAAAAAGTGGGAAACATATAAAACTGAAATATAATGATGGCATGCATGCTATGAGACCATTTGACCCGCGTAAAAAACGCCATGTGCATGTCCGTTCAATGAAACGGTCAAGCGTTACATTTCTAAAATTAAAGTGGATTAAATCAGGTTGTCTATCGTCGGTGATTAGTGATGGCAACAACGTAATAGTACTGTCGGATTGCTTCACCTCAACTACCTGCTTGAAGGACGCATACGCCGCTAATCTGACCAATGCTTGGAACCACCACCTCATAGAGCATTACTCCAAAAATCATATATAGTACAAGGTGCATTGAGATATTAATGATAAATAAATTTCTCAACAATAGGAATAGAATATGGACAAAATTCTAAAATAGCTCAAAATAGAACATATTTAGTCTTATTAAAAGCACTATGATCATGAATATTGGTTTTTTAAACAATACGTATATTCCAATGAACTCTCTCACCTTATAAATATATCAATTCATGTTGTTACACATGTACTCTATCTACAATCAAAATTGAAAGATTAAATTCATTGCCTCTAATTAGGCACATCATTTTCTTAATTACTTGTTACTGTCTTTTGAAGAGTTTCTAGTTATGACCCTTCGACCCATGTAAAACAAGGTCATGTCCACTTCATCGTTGAATGAAACGATCAAGCATTCTATTGCTAAAATTTCACTAGTAGAAAAAGGCCTTATAGTGTCACAGTAAGGCAGTTTTCTAGTAGTGATTCAAACGAACTAAATGAGGTTAAGTTGTTTGTAGTGGGTCATCAGTGATAACAATGACATATATAACATCGTTGTTGGATTCCCTCACCTCACCGGCCTACCAGTACGTTCAAAGGACACAGACACCGTCGATCTGACCAATGCTTTAAACACAACGCCTCAAAGACCATTACTCCAAAGAGGAAATATAGTCCAAAGTACATTATTGTGGCATTAATGATTAATAAATTGCTCAAAAGATGAGTAGAGATCAACTAAGTTCTAAAACGACTCGAAATAGGACATATATTTGAACTTATTAAAAGATCAATAATCACAAAAATGTTTATGTTTTAGATTGTAAATAAATAAATTCTTATTGCAAATATGGAGATTCATTGTTTTTTAGCAAAAATATGAACTCTATAATCTTATAAATATTTCAATTCTTGTTCCTATACAATTGTATGATTGTATCTACTATCAGAATTGAAAGATTAGATTCATGAGCTCTAATTATATGAATCCCATCCTTTATATTGAAGAGTTTCTATATTAGCTATAAGAGAACGGAAAGAGAGTTTAGAAAATTGAAATGATCGAGTAAAAAAGGTTATCACTACTTTCATGACCCTGTTTGAAATCCTTCATTTTAAGTTGTTAGCTTATGTTGTAGAACGTAAAATTTCCTTTCAAAAATTATAGGAAAGTTTTCAGAATGTAATGAAAAGCATAAAATATTTCATCAAACATAATATTCCTACGTACGTATTTTTTGTTTTTTGTTTTATCAAGACTACTTGAATCGTACTTTGAAAATATACTACGTATAACTTTTCGGTTAACATGCATAAATGGTCCTTGAACTATCATAATCATACCATTTCGGTTTTTGAACTATTAAATCTATCATTTTAGTTCTTACTCTATTTAATCTATATTAATTGAGTCACATGTCGTTAAAATTTCCTATTAACATTGATGCTAGCTAATTAATTTATTAACATGTCATAGTTTTAAACGAACATTACAAATCATTCTTAAAATTTAACTAGCTAATTTAGTTTCTTTTATAAAAATATACATATATATACACATATAAAAATTATAAATAAATAATACAAAACCAAATGTATGGCTTAAATAATACGTAGTATATGTCCTCCGTCCCGCTAAGTTTCTCTCATCTTTCCTTTTTGATCCGTTCCACTAGGATTGTCTTAATGTGCATGGTTGTATATCATTCCTACTTTATGGAGACAGCGGTGGATGGGGACGGCCACGGCGATAGGGGAGGCGTGTGCCATGGCGACGGGGGTAGCGGGTGTCGCGGCAGCAGGGGCGGCTGGTGCCGCACGACGGGTGCCGCGCAATGGGCTAATGACTATGGATTTTAGAAAATGAGTAGAACGTTAGAGTTTTATAATATCAATCTAAGGGCATGTTCTGGTAAAAAAATAAGGGAAAATTGATCCATAAAATTTATTTATTTATATATTTGATTATTAATTAATTAAATATTATGAATTTGAAAACGGAGTATTATTTCGGGGGAAAAAATAATGAGGTCATGTATGAATTGGGAAAGTGGATGAGATTTAGTCATACCTAGCATAATTTTCTCATAATATAATCAATAATAACTACAACCATCCTCTTTTGTTATTTTATTTTTTCTGCTAATGCTTATATAATTGAGTTATTTAATTTTATCTTATACTATCGTATATTATTCAAGCCATACATTTAGTCTTATATTATTTATTTAATTATTTATTTATAATTGTTATATGTGTATGTGCAGTGTATACATATGTATATTTAAAAAAAAAACTAGATTAGATACTAGCTTAAATTTTAAGAATAATTGGATTGTTCTAAAATGTATAAAATTATGTGATGTTAATAAATTAGCTACCATTAATGTTAACGATACATTTTATCGGAAGGACTCGATTAATATAGATGGAATAGATTAAGGGATGATCTCCTATTAGCACCATTATAGGACATATTTAGTTTAATGAGAAGTGCTACAATCACGAATATCGTTTCTGCTTTAAACAAAAAATAAATTCTGATTGAGGGGTTCGTTGTCTTTTTAGTGTAAATTGAAACTCGATCTGTAACTTTATCAATATATCAATTCTGTTTGCTAGACAATTGTATCTACAATCATAATAATTAAGACTGAATTTATTCTCTAAATATATGTATATACCATCCTTACCTTATACGGCCTATAATAGCTATCAGAGAAACGCAAAGAAAAATTAGAAAGTCTGAAGTAATATTTTTTGTCGAAACTAAAAAATGGTCTTATTTTTATTCTTTTAAAAGTCTCAAGTAATATTTTTGTCATTACTTCTTGAATTATTACTCTTTACCTATAATTATTGTTTTTCATGTTTCATTAACACTGTATAAATCATATTATAAAAAATATATAAGTATTCCTATTTGTGAGCATGTTTTACTACTTTTAACTTTTTAAGAGCAATTATTAATTCTTGAGATTGTAAATAATGTCTTAGATTGCATTAAATCGATTAATTAGACAACCAATGAACTACAGATAAAAATGCAATTTTCTATAATATGTACTTCATCAGATCAATTCCATAAAATAGTTTCCACTTTCCTTTTTGATTGCCCCAAAATATTGTTCTCATTTTTTTTGGAAAGTTTTGTGTGTCTGATCATTATTTACTTTTTTCTTACTCAACCACAACCATACATTTCTACTATATTCTCACTTTTTTAAACTCTTATCCAAATCGGAGTGAGAATTATTTTATGGGACAGAGGTAGTACTACTTCCGTCCTACATAAATGTTCGTGTTCAGTATTCTCCGATCAATATAAATTACACTACTAGAAAAAGGACTTTTAGCAATGAATAATATGGTCGTTATAGACCCGAAAGTTTGTCGTTAAAGCTTTTAACGACCATTTTTTTCTCGTCGTCAAGTGGTTGTTATAGCCTCCGTCGTTATTGGTTTTAACGACAAAGTTCGTCGTTAATAAATAACGACGACACAATACTCGTCGTTACTTATTAACGACAAAAAACTCACTCGTCGTTACATAATAACGACAACATAATCTTTCAATGTTATTTAATTATGACAATATACTTGACCAAGGTTACTTTTTATATCGTTTATTATATGATCCATCATTACTTATCCAAAAATGACAGTGGTTTCATAATCACAACAGGACACAGCTCCACGAGATACCAATTCAAGAACTACTCCGTATAAGTTTTAAAAATTACATAGTATTGCTAAAATACTTCGTAATTGATAATAATTACGTGAAATAAAGTACTAAATCTTCCAGTAAATTATTACAATCAAACAAATATCTTTTAAATATCACATTTATTGTAAGTTGACACAATACTAATAATCATTCTCATAAATAAAATCTCAATACATATTGTACAAATACATGCACATGTATCATTTATATACATATATGAAAAAGTGATGAATACTAAATTACAAATAAAATAGCAACTCGACAGCACTGCTGCAAGCCTGCAACTTCTCATCTTTGAAAACCTACAAAAAAGAACATAGAATTCAGATTTTCTAATAAATGATACATACTCCGTACTTCCTAGAGAAAAAAACACGAAGTACTTCTTAAACAAATCTACATTTCCCAATAGCAGCGGGTCACTTAGGAACTAGCAAATTCCATTCTTTAATATATGCATCACTTAGGCTAAGGTATCAACTAGGAACTGAGACTTGAGCATTAACTAGGAACTGAAAAATTACAAGTGACGAAACTTAACATTTTAATACTAAAATCCAATCATAAACAATGATAAACTCTTACTTAGGAAGGTGAACCATTTTCTTCTTCATCCATGTTATCTGGACTCAAGGAATGTGTTCTCCAAATAATTAAGATTAAGTGGACTCATATTAAAAGGATCTGACCTGGCAGCAATGGATTTGACATGATCTTCAATTCTGCCTTAAGTCCTAATTGATGTCAATGTATGGATCTCCATGGTACAATTTTCAGTTGGTATTATCACATTTTCTATCATCAGACTTGATTAGGGTATATTTGCATTCAATCCTATTCCTTCTCAAAAAGTTTTGGCATTGCTATGACTTCTTGGTGTAGCATTAGGTGAAACCCATGTATTTTCAAGGGCAAAGGGGGCTGGACAAAAATAATTAGCTCGAGAGGCGATCTGCAATTAGAATGAAACTGAATCAGCATTTAAGTTTCAAACAAGACGGAACTCATAAGATTGGAAAAAAAGGATTGTTAATTAAAACCCCTGTAACAAATATGCAGACAGTTTTATGAAAACAATAACGATTAAAACCTAAAAGTCAAAATACCTCACAATTTAATAGTGATATACGAGGCATACCTTTGTGCACAAGAGCGCATAAGTAAAGGTGCTAAGTTGCTAACATTCTTAAAACCATGTGGTCTGACTTTGACGAAAGCAAGCGGTATCAACAAAACCCATAAGTGAATAATAATAAAAATAATAATAGGATAATTGTACCTATGCAGTCAAATATTTCATATACATAACAAGATCGGTCTACATATTGTGGAGTCATAATTGTCTTCAGTTAGGGAAGCCCGAAGTGCAAACCATAAGTGCTTTTAAGCAATTTTACATTATTCTGTTTGCAACTATGGAATCATTATAGTAAAAAATGTATTTTACCTTCATGTTACGAGCTCTCCTACCAAAGCGCTGAGCCAACGACACAAGGGAGTCAATTTCTCCCTTAGGCTCTGGTGCTGTCCTATTTATCGCAGCAAATGCCTCACGAATTCATGGACAGTCAAACTTAAGTATGTAATGGCCCACCCATATTTTTCCTAATCGAATTACATCAGAACAAATAATAATGAGTAGTCAGTACTTAAGAAAATTAACACAAGAAACTAGAATATCATGTGGTCAACTGACTATTAAAGGTGAGCCACTCAAACTCACTATTTCATCTGAATGTTAAAGCCACCACCAAATCAAGGTTAAGCAAATTGTGAGGGACAAATCACTACAACAAAATAGACTTTTTGCAACACTTTTCTTGTAACACTTTTTTATTGTTACATATAACTCTTGATATTAACATTTTGTAACACTTATTTTTAAGTGTTGCATAAACTTGGCAGGAATAAAATTATGCAACACTTATATCAAAGTGTTGCTTATGATTAGTTATTATGTAACATTTATATCCAAAGTGTTGCTATATATGAGTATATAAGTTTAAATATTTATGTAACACTTGTGGAAATGTTCGGTATTTAATTTGGTATACTGGAAGAGTAAAAGTGTGGAACAAAGCTAATTCAATACAAAACAGCAAATTAACCAAGTGAAGTTGTTCCTAAAAACTCTTCTACTTATGGATGAAATTTCACTTGGCTAGAAATTTGATAAAAGTATAAAATCCAATTGTTAGCATTTTCAATAAAAATTAAAAAGAACTAACTTGTGCATTAGGAAGAGAATCGATTCAATTAAAGCGTCCCCAAATGCTTTTTTCAAATTGTGTCCCAATTGTGTACTATTTTTTAGAGAATCGATTCAATTAAAGCTTCCCCAAATGCTTTTTTCAAATTGTGTCCCAATTGTGTTCCATTTTTTAGAAATCTAAAATAATTTGTTAAAACACTCTCGCTTTCGAAATTTACTTTTCACTCTACAAATCACTATTAATTTTAAATAAAAGTGTTGACTCAGAATGTTTTTACTTGGACTGAAATTTGTTAGTCTGGTCTGATCTATTTAAATCTGGTCTGGTTTGATCTGATAATGTCTAATTTCTGTATATTTTATAGCTACAGAAGGTTGATATATGTTGATCTAGGATGTTTTTACTTGGAATGTAATTTGCTGGTCTGGTCTGATCTGGTCTGATCTGGTCTGGTCTGGTCTGAACTGGTCTGGTCTGGTCTGGTCTGGTTTCTTTGTATTTTTATAACTATCCAAGTCTGGGCTGGTCTGGTCTGGTCTGAACTGGTCAGGTCTGGTCTGGACTGGTCTGGTCTGGTCTGGTATGGGACAAATTACAGTCCAAGTAAAAACATCCCTAATTGATGTAGTCTGATTTTAGATCGGAAACCATTCAAGTAAAAGCATCCTTATAAACACACAAAAAAAGATAAAAAAGAATTTTCCAAAAAAACAGATAAAAAAGAATATAAAAAACGGAAGACAAAAAAGGAATAACAAAATATTGAAAATAGAAAAATGCTTAGTGTACGTTAATTGTACACAAGTTGTACACAAAAACCCCTTAGTTGTCTATCTACACAGGCAATTTGTTAAAACTGGGACAAGAGTTGATGCCAAATTGTCTGTGTACACTTTGAATGTAAATCAAGAATGATCCTTGAAAATAATACTCCGATTGATCGTGTTGAGCAAAACCGATAGGTCCATTCAAAGCAAAACCCCTGGGGCAAAGTACTCATCCAGTAGCTAAGGAGAGAATTCTAGATCCGGCCAAATCTGGTTGTGATCCGGCTAGCGAGAAATCACATCCCGGAGAACATCCCTGACCGAAACGATGTCTCACTGGAGAAATCAGCCATCGCCGGTGTGAAACTTCTACGCTGCGGTCCTGCGGATCTCTTCTTGGAGAACATGGTGTCACTCTTTCCGGAGACTGGAATTCGTCGGTATGGGCAGAAGGCGGGCGACCAGGTTCGTCTTTAGTACTGTCTGGTAGCAGCCAGACTGGAATCTATACCGGTAAGAGGATCCATTGAATTCGATTCCAAACCTTTTTTTTTTCATATTTCAGAAGATGAAGTGGGATTACTCTTGTATAAAATTTACACATCGTATGCAAAAAATTGATTCGATTAGGATTTAGGAATAATTTATTGGATGCTTAGTTGAACAAAGATTTACAATTGGCCAGTTGGATGAAAGGCATACTCTTATCAATTTAGATCCTTGGAGGATTTTTACAAAATCATGAATAAAAGGTATGGTTTATTTAAGGTATTCCCATGCCGGTCTTGAAATATACCCATAATTTCAATCTTGTGATTAATCCCAAGTTATCCCTAGTCTTTAGATTTCAAAATTCTGGATGGTAATGTGATGATTATGTTTGATTGTTTTGGTAATTCTTAATACTACGTACTTGTGAATGTTCTAATGTTCTATTATGCACACACTAACTATTTAACGGGAAGTACGGTCTAAGGCGATACGGACTTCTGATTAACATCAGAAAGGAGTGTGACAGAAGTTTTATGCAATAGTACAAGTATTTTGGTATTTTAAACGGAATAGATAGTACATGCATGTGGAACCCTGCAATTGATAATATATCTGCCTTCTAAATTTGATCCTAATTTTTCTGCATATGATATACTTTGCCAAGAATGTCTTTTCTTATTATCATCCTCATTAAATTTCATTAGATTGTATAATGTAAGTGCTGTTATCACTTTTTTAAATGAAAAAGTTCATTATTACTTGCTATTCTTTCTTCGCCATTTCCCTCTAATTTTTCTCCTTGATCTTGAACGCTAGTTATATCAAAGGGAAGCAGATATGCAAATTCCATGTTCATAGGGGGCTCTGTTTGGCTGCAGATGACATTAGTCCACATTCTTATTTTTCTCATTGAGGGCATTTGATTGTTTGCATTACTAGACTGGATCGTTAAAAGGGTCTTCATTTGATTAAATAGGCAATCAAGCATATGTCAAGAAGTTGGTAAGTTTGCTTCTTCGCCAACTTTTTAAAGAATATGCTCACAATGCCTAACCGCATTAGCTCTTACATAATGCTTATTCCTACAATGGTAAGGGAACACATGCAATAAGCTTATCATGATTTGTATGTATTCTCTTCTAACATTCAATAGATGGTTAAGTGGTTAACAACCTAATATATTCCTTCTTTTCCACTTCTCTTCTACTTGGCTGAATTCTATAATTCATTCTTGAATGTAAAGTTTTAATGTTTGTTGGATCCTTTTTGCATTACTCCTATATTGCCCAAAAATGATTACACCACTGTTTTGTTTATTGTAGCTTTATGCGCATGAAAGCAGGGTAAAGTAGTGATAAACTTAATTCATTTTTTACTCTGCTTGCGTATATAGTTTAGTTAAGTTATCACCCCTAAATCGACAGTTCGACACACTCATAATGTTTAGAAAATGACTCCATACTTTACAGGTTTCATCCTCTCACATAGCTTTCCATATCTGGCCTCTCTTTTCCAAAAAAAGAAAAAAGAAACTCTAGTGCTCATCAGGTAAGCTGTCCTAATGCTCCTGTTTCTTCCCTCATCTTTATATTTTTTTTTGCACAACTAGATTTAGGTTTTAAGTTTCAGATTAAATAGTATTCTTTTACTTTAGTCAATCTGTAGTGGACATGTTTTTGTTTTATATAGTTGTTTTTACTTGAATTTTATTCTAAATAGTTTTATATCTTGTAAGATGAACATGCTTTAGCCAGGTTGAGCTTTTTGGATACTGATTTTGAATACCGTTAATCATTTAATGTTTAGCTAATGATTGGAGGGAAGAATGCTTTGAAATGAAGCTTTTACTCGTCTGCTTTTCTTTTAATTGGATGTGGCAGTAACAATACATGTGATATTCTAATTTGTAGTTTACTTTTTGTAGGTGTTCAACCGCCAAGTTTTGTTTCAATGATTTGATCATTGGTTTTATATTTATTAGAAAGATTTATAATTATGAGCATAGTTCTTGTTGGTTTATTTTAGTCTGTGGACAGAAAACTGATTTGGTACGGTGTTGGTTTAACATAATATAGTTATCGTTTACATATTTAGTAATCATAAAGTTAAAATATTGTTGCTTTTTTTCAGAATGAATGAATTGCATATTAATACTTTTCTACAAGTCATTTTGATATTTATATTTACTGTCTTTTTCTTTCTTATTCTCTACTGTATAGGGCCTGCCAGTGAGGGTTGAAGCTGTGAATCTTTAAAGAAGAATTTGATGTGTTGTGGCACCTGCAAAGGAGTTGATGTTTTCCCACAATTTATACATTGGCAAAATAGTTGATATTACCTAGTTTCTTATTTTAGAGTTTTTTACTCAAATATTGTAAATTTAAGTTACTCCCCTAAGATGGAAACTCTCTAGATGTTACGTTGGATTGGATTTATATTATTATTATTTTGAACTTATCCGCTTATGATTCTTTCTTATTGCAAATGTTTTAGCTAGCTTTATTATCATTTGTCTAAATGACCCAACAAAAATTCGTAAAATATTAGTTGCTGATAAGTTAAAGTGTTGCTTGTTTTTAAAAAATGTTGCAAGTACCATTGAGGTTTATGTTACATAATATATAAATCTATGTTGCAAAAGATTATAATTCAAATGTTACATAAACATAACAAAGCGTTGCTTAAAGTTAATTTTTAAATGTTGCATTTTGTTTCAAAACGTGTTGCATAAGGTGCTGGTCAAAGTGTTGCAAAATAGTGTTGCATTTGATTTATTTATGCAACATTTCTACGTAATGTTGCATAATACGTTAAAAGTGTTGCATATGACATTATGCAACGAGACCTGAAGCAACGCCCACAAAAGTGTTGCAATAGCCTTTTGTAACACTAAAACAATCTAATGTAACATGTTTGAGGCGTTACAAAAGGTCTAATTTGTTGTAGTGAATATAACTCCCTGAAATGGGATCTTTTGACAATAGACAAGATTGATGAGGGACAAGTTAAGAAAATATTACCAGCATTTGACAAAGATTTTCAGCTCAAAATACCAGAAACACAAGAGTGATGCTGAGATGGAAAATATGAAACTTCAGCTTATACTCATCTTCAAATTGCATAAAACTCATTTAGGACTGGGTGTTGAACAAATTAAGTAAGAGCTGAAATTGCACTAATTTTAGCCATTTAGTCTAAGTTGTGCTCAATGCCAGTTTGTGGTTACAGTGTTGTTGTAATCATGTTTTATTGGTTTTTTTGCGATGTGCCCATGGGAATAATCTCAAAGAACTAAAATCTTGTTCTACGAAACATGATTAAGCAAATAAATATTTTAATAACAACTTCTGTGTGTTTTCTTTAAAAAATCAACTATGACTTTCATCTTCGCATCACATTCACATATAGCATCTCAAGTGTATTAATCAGCTTATATATGGTAAATACATACTCATAATACTTGGAGCAAGTTTAGCATTTCAATAAATTCAAAACCCAGTAAACATAAATACTAAAATTATTAATGATTCAGCAACCGAATCCAAAGAAGTGAATCAGCCAAGGAAATCAGCAAAGCAAATCAGCCAAGGAAATCAATGAAGCAATTCAGCCAATTAAGGAAATCAATGAAGCAAATCATCCAACCAAATCAACCAAGCAAATCAACTATTCAATAAAATTATGCAGCATCCCTGTAGATTTCTGAAAACTGATTAAGACAAGATTAGAATAATTAATATTCAAGATTAAAGTTACCTGGATGGAGCAAGCAAAACGATCAAACGAGAGGCGAGAAGTGATCGAGCGACAGGCCAAGAACGACCGAGCGACAGTCCAAGAACGGTCGACCGATAGAATTCTGAGAATCCTTCTATGGCCAGGAACAATCCAGTGATAGGAACGATCGAGCTAGTGACGAGGAACTGTTGAGCGATTGACTTCTTTAAGAATTCTTTGCATCCAGGAATGGGAGCGATTGGATGGAGATGTATGACTGAGGTAGAAGAATGACCGATCCAGAGCAAGTTCAATGTGGCCATAAGAGTTCTTTCAGCGGCAAGTTCTTTAGGCTTAGGGTTTTTTTTATCTAACCTATCGGCAAGTTTGATTTTGAAGATAGCTACGTTTATGGTATATTTTCTAATCGATCGATCTAATTAAATCAGGGGCGTAGAGAACGAAAATTATTGGAGTTGAAAATTTTGGCGGCATACTAAAATATTATACTGAAATTTTGGCGGAGTAATTAGTTAATTTTATTCGAATGGATTATTTTTTATTTAAGTAATATATATGAGAAAAAAATCAACAAGTTATAACGATGACAACACTTTAATTAATAACGACAACTTTTCATTATGGTCATTACAGATAGATTTTTATAACGACGAACTCATTATTCAATGTTAAAAGAAACTTTTAACGACGAATTTTTAAAGTCGTCATTATATAGTGGTCGTTAAAAATCCATTTTCTTGTAGTGTTATTATTAATCTTTTACTTTATATATCCAACTTTTGTCAAATTTCATTTTTCTTTTGCGACTTTTTAAAATTTTTAATTAGAATCTAAATGTGTAAATTTATTTACTAAAAATAATCTTATTATTGACAAAAATATATTAAATTTATGGTTAGTCAAATATCGTAAATCGCGAGGGGCCCTTTAAGTGGGACGGAGAGAGTAAGATATAAAGCATTTACTAATATCGCTTATGGGAAAAAAATATCGGTTATGTGATATTATAAAGCGACACACACATATTACATACTCCGTAATATACACTAGTGGCACAACTTTGACCATTAATATATATAACTCTCTATTAGTTAAAAATAATTAAAAAATCAGATTTTGAAAATTTAGATTGAGACGAATTTAGTAATATTTTTTTCAAAAATATATATTAATACACCAATAAATAAAATGTAGTCAAAATAGAACATGTGAATAGTGTAAAATTTGCAATGCACTTAATTAAGAACGTACTAACGTTTACATATTTTAATTTTAAATACAAATGATAATTAAAATACTCTGTAATTCCGTACAATAGTGGGTATCACAGTTATTTTGAAAGATGTGTATTGCAGATTTAATTAACGTCTGCTTCTTTTAGCATTTTAGGTTATAGTAAAATGTTTTTAATGAATTACCGTCTCGAAAAGGTTCGTCATATTGACTTTTCTTGGTCAATGATGACAAACTTTAGATAATGATTTTAATTATTATATTTGTATATAAATTGTAGATTTTATACTTTTATGAAAAATTTTTGAATAAGGAACACTTTGATATAATTTTCATATTCAAAACAATTTTGTGTTAAAAAATATTATTAGTCAGAGTTGATTGTTCTTGATCAAGAAAATTCAATTTGGCGAACATTTTTGGGACGGAGGGAGTAGTAAATTATACAGTTCATCAAGTCAATTGAGTACTTAAACAACCTCACTGTTCAGCCTTTTCATCAGCACTAGTCGGAATATTTTTATAAATTTGCACAAGCAACAAATACTATAAAGAAAAATGAGTAGATAAACTAGAATTTGTCAGCAACAGTTCGTAACGGCGTTTTTGATGTGTTGGTCAGTCCTAGACTCCAATAATATTTGATACACAGGACCATTGCCGTGAACCATTTTAATATTATACTCCGTATTAAGGATGGCAATGGGGGCGGGGACCCGTGGGGAACTGCCCCGTGGGGTTTGGATGGGACGGGGCTTGGGGCGGGGTGGGGGCGGGGATGAATGAGTTCTTTTTACGCCGTTAAAATATGGGGCGGGGGACGGGTATTGCTACACTCGCCCCGTCCCTGCCCCGTCCCCGTTATAAATATATACTCAAACATATATATACACATAGGAAAAAGATCAGGTCCGAACGTTCGGACAGGACCCTCCGTCCGAACATCCTCGTTTGGGGTTCTTCCCGGTGGAATTTTTTGATGAAATTGTTTGAGCATGTTCCTCATCAAGTCTAGTTTGTCCATACCAAATTTCAGCTCAAAATTCGATCGGGAAGGCATTCAAACCATTTTTGAAGTTGACTGCGTTTTTATATGTATATTTTGACGCAGTCAACTTCAAAAAATTATTTGAATGCCTTCCCGATCGAATTTTGAGCTGAAATTTGGTATGGACAAACTAGACTTGATGAGGAACATGCTCAAAAAATTTCATCAAAAAATTCCACCGGGAAGTGGCCCAAACGTCCATGTTCGGACGGTGCTCGGACGGAGAATGTTCGGACCTGAACATTCCTCTATACACATATATAAATAGTGTACACACATATTAAATTTAATTATATGTAGTATATAACAAACACATATACATATAGACATACATAATTGTATACGGTTTAATCATGGTTAATGAGTTAATATATATTATACTAGAATAATAATAAGCTAGTAATGATTAAAAATATTTATCATAAATGTTATATGAGTTTTAAGAGTGAGAAAGTGAGTAAATAAATACACACACATTTATATGTAATATGTAATTAATTGTATTATAATTTTTGAGAATTTTGAAACGACGTACATGATGATAATATGTTTACTTATAGTTTTACTTTAACTGTCTTCAATTCACAAAACTTATTCAAATTAAAGAATTATTAAAATTGACGGTATTAACTTTTAACAAACACAATACTTCAGTGTTGTGTGTGTGTGTGTCATATATCACTGTGTGTGTAGATATATATAGGTTTATGATCAAATGAGAACAATGTTTAACGTGAGAACGTGCGAACACCACGTTTACCCCCAATGTGAAACACAATGGGCTCGCGAAATGCACTTTTTCGTATCTGGCATAATATTTACAAAAGTGTCACCGTGATTATTTATATTAGCTTGTATTGAGCAAAGTCCAAATGTGCACTAGAAAGGCTCTATTGTGTATCACATTGGATTAAATGTGAGTAAAGTCCAAATGTGCACTAGAAGGACTCTATTGTGTATCAAATTGGATTAAATGTGAGTGTTCCTACGTTAAGCATCGTTCTCATTGGAATCACACTACATATATTTATAATAAGAGATTAAAAGTATATGTAAATACGATAAATTAAATCTATATGGAGGCACCCGCGAGCACCCGTGGGGGACAACGGGGTGGGCGGGGATGGGGCGGGTCTGGGAGTAACGGGAGATGGGGCGGGGTCCGCGGGGATGAAGGGAACCTTTTAGACATGGGGCGGGGGATGGGGGAGTGTACCCCCGCCCCAAACCCGCCCCATTGCCATCCCTACTCCGTATACGAATCTTATCATTTTTTTAAATATTACTGAAAAATAAATTAACTTAAAAAACATGACTATATAATTAATAGGAGTATTAAAGTTATTAATTTAGTCAACTACACTTAAGCGTCATTTTTTGAATTTTTTATTTTAGTCATAAATATATAATTACTTCTTGTATCAATTCAGGACAACTTTAACTTTATTATTTCATGTACAATTAAATTTGGCTAAGTTTTATGAGACCATTATTTTTGGTACCCATAACATATTATAGTTTGCAATCCAAGATCATGCATGATGAAATTTAATCCAACTACGAGAGCTATATCTACGAGAGCAGATGAAATTTAGGTAGCATAAAACAATATTATTAATCCGGAATTCGGTCCCTTGATAGGAAGTGTAGGAAGTATTTATAGACCATAGGAACTAGTGTTATAGGAGGAAACTGATACATTAAATGCTCATTAATCGAAATAGACTCCTGTAACGTCTTGAACGTTGTGCAATGATTGCTTTCCTTAGGTGTACGTCTCTTCCTCTTATTCCTGCCCGCTGCCAGATAGCTATATGCATGAATGATAGTCTGTCACGTAAGCCCTAGGAAGAGTCCGACCTCACTAGAACTCCGCCTAGGCTCAAGGTCTGTTGTCTAGCCCGGCCTGCAGGTTGTGGGTTCCTCTGCTCGTACGTGAGTGGGTCTGATTCCTATTTAGGCCCAACGGCTAATCAATATTAATCTCATTTATGGGTTAATCCCGTTAAGGGTTGATCCCGCTGAGGGCCATCTCGTTTATGGGCTTTCATAACAATTTCACCCTTAGGCCATGGCGGTAGTCCATGGTATCATCAATGCATGACAGTCAACGAGTCAAAGTCCATTAGATTAGAGTTGTTAATGATTTGAGTGGTCTTCAATTCTTCTATTGTTGCGAGAACAGATTTTTCTATAGATATGTTGCCTAATAACGCAAGAAACATAATACTTTGAACATTTACTTGACCTAACATTATACGGATCAGTTTACTATTTTAGGAAAATTATAACAATAAATACTCAGTAATATACGATAATGATAATAATCATAGTAATTTGCTAGCTGTTTAATCTCATAATTCCCCTTTATCCATTGCTAGCTATTAGCTTTTTTAATTGTGTGATTTTACTGGGCTCGTTTGCAAATAATTAATGTCATATACTGCGTATATAACTTACAAGTATATGTGCGTTTTTTTATTTATTAGAATATACAATTTTTAGGAAATTTCACTCAAATTGTTGTTACTGGTACATTAGACACGAGGATTAAGATAGTTTGTATTGTGTGGTGGAGAATTGTGCAAAAGAGAGAGAAATATGTAAGAATGTATAAGAATATACAACACTACGTAATTGTTGTGAATAACAATATTTTTTTAATTACTAAAAGGGAAAATAGACAATAATGAACTTTCGGGACGCACAAATATTTTCAAATAATTTAGAAATATTATTGTTGTAAAATAATATTTTCACATAAACCATCTACGGGCGGCACATTAACTAGTTCGGGCTTCTAGACAATAATGTATCACTGATCTATGGCGTCCCTAATGTTCGATCGGTGAATTACTGAGTAATAATGTGTTTCAGTTCATAATTTTAATTAATTCAGTTGTTTCTTTTATTGTTTGGCTATAGAGCTTGATTGGCGGGCTTGTTTGTTATCTTTCTTGTGCATAAATACAATCTAATCTTTTTAAGATAAATAAACTTCCGTTATAAGAAATTTGGCATTTTGAAATTAGTACTCATCAATTAGATACTCAATTTTTTAAAATAAAATTCTCTTTAGATTTGAGTTGACATACTTAACAAACAATCATAGATGATAATAAAATTGTGGTTGAGATTTTACTTTTTTTTAAAGAAAATCACATACTCCTCCGTTCCATTGGACTTTGTCAATTTTCCCTTTTTGGTTGTTCCAAAAAACTTTTCCATTTACCTATTAAAGCCACTAATTTGTAGTTCTGCACATTCTCTCTCCTTTGCACAAATATCAACCACACAGTTTTTACTGTTCTTATTTCTCACATACTTTGCACTTGGCAAAGTCTACCGGGACGAAGGTAGTATATTAAAATAACACGAATCACATCTCTTACATTCGACCCACAACTCAAACTACCCCTTCTTTCAGACTTACAATAACTATAAATTCTTCTCATTTCCATATCAGACATACAAATTTTCACTCGTTTTTGAGCAACACCTTTCAAAGCAATCATTGACATTAAAAGCAAGACTGGTCTAATCTAATCAGGTCAGGTCTAAACGAGTCTGATTTTATCTGGTAATGTCTGATCTCTATGTATTTTATAATCCCCAGACCAATGAATCTAGGCACCCACAAAAACCAACCACAAGTCCCGGTCTTGAAAATAAAAACTAATTACAAGGAAAAAGCTACCATTGAATTGATATCATGCACGCTTCTTGCTTGTGTGCGAAATCTCTTAATATCTTCCAATTTTGATCTTAATTTAGGTGACACCGTAATTGTGCAAAAGCAAAATAAAAATCATGTAAAACCGTTGTAAAATGTGCAGTTCTTCCGCTCTGCCGTCACTTCTTGTTCACAACATCATGGCATCACACAATTCGTCGACAACATGTGGTCTACTTTATTAATCCCCGTGCCAGTCAACCGTGACAAAGTTATTAGGGACGGAGGGAGTACTTGAGGAAGAATCCCATCCCCCCAACTAGGTTTAAAACTGAAAATTTTTCCATCCATAAGAATTATTAATCTTATTTAGGAAATAAAAATATACTTGTACTGAAATTTTGTGGTTTACATAGGCTGGTCTGGTCTAGTCTGTTCTAGTCTGAACTTCTCTGGTCAGGTAAGTGTGTGTCTTGTCTCTGTGTATTTTCTAACTATCCAAGTCTGATATGGTCTGGTCTGGTCCGATCTGAGATATAATGATGGCATGCAAGCTATAGAACCATTTGAGCCGCGTAAAAAACGCCTTGTGCACGTCGTCGTTCAATGAAACAGTCAAGCGTTACATTTCTAAATTTAAAGCGGATCAAGTCAAGTTGTCTTTAGTCGGTGATTAGTGATGACAACAACTTAATAGCACCGTCTGATTGCTTCAACTCAACTGCCTCCATGAAGGACCCACACGCCGCTAATTTGGCCAATGCTTGGAACCCACCACGTCATTGAGTTAATAATGATAAATAAATTTCTCAAAACTTGAAATAGTATATGAACAAAGTTCTAAAATAGCTCAAAATAGGACATATTTAGTCTTATTCAAAGCAGTATGGTCAAAAATATTATTTTTTTAAACAATATATATATATATATATATATATATATATATTCTGATGAACTCTTTAACCTTATTAATATATCAATTTGTGTTGCTACACAAGTACTGTATCTACAATCAGAATTGAAAGATTAAATTCATTGTCTCTAATTGTGCACATCATTTTCTTGTTATAATCTTGTGAAGAGATTGTAATTATGACCATTCGATCCATGTGAAAACATGGTCATGGCCACTTCATCGTTGAACGAAACAATCAAAATCTCATTTCTAAAATTCAAATGGAGTAAATGAGGTTAAGTTGTTTGTAGTGGGTCATCAGTGATAACAATGACGTATCAGCATTGTCGGATTCCCTCACCTTACCCGCCAGTACGTTCAAAGGATGCACACACCGCCAATCTGACGAGTGCTTTAAACACAACGCCTTATAGACCATTACACCAACAATCATATATAGTCCAAGGTGCATTATTGTGGCCAGTAGTAATGATAAATAAATTGGTCAAAAGATGAGTAGAAATCGACCAAGTTCTAAAACAACTCAAAACAGGACATATATATTTGAACTTATTAAAAGCTCTATAATCACAAAAATGTTTATGTTTTAGATTGAAAATAAATTCTTATTAGGAGATTCATTGTTTTTAGCAAAAACATGAACTCTAAATCTTATAAATATTTCAATTCCTGTTCCTATACACTTGTATGATTGTATCTACAATCAGAAGTGAATTGAAAGATTAGATTAATGAGCTCTAATTATATGAATCCCATCCTTACTTTATATTGAAGAGTTTCTATATTAGCTATACGAGAAAAAGACAGAGAATTTAGGAAATGGAAATGATTGAGTAAAAAATATTATCCCTACTTTTATGACCCTGTTTGGAATCCTTCATTTTATCTTGTTAACTTATGTAGAATGTAAAATTTTCTGTAAATATTTATAGGAAAATTTTCATAATACAATTAATCCCTTAAAACATACTCCGTAATGAGTCCGTATAATATTTCATCAAAAATAATATTCCTACGTATTTTTGTTTTATCAAGACTAAATCAATCGTACTTTGATTTGAAAGTATACTGTGTATAAATTTTCACATTTGTATATATGTTCTACTAATTTTAAGAGCGATTTCTTAACATTATAATAATGTCTGATTGCATTAATGGGATAAACCAATTAATTTATAGACAAAATATTTTGGTACCCATAACTATTATAGTTTGCAATCCAAGATCATGCATGACAGTCAATGAGCCAAAGTACATTAGAGTAGAGATGTTAATGATAGGGGTGGGCAAAATGGTTTGGTTTGACCAAACTGAATCGAACCGAACCGAAAATTGGGGGTTTCGTTTGGTTTGATTTTACTTAAGCAACCCGTTTGATAGCATTTTGCTCAAACCGAATGGTTTGGTTTGGTTTAAAACCGAAAAACCGCAAACCGAACCGAACACCGAACAACTTGTAATATATATAAATACTTTGTATTTTTTTTCACTCTTCATCTTTAGGATATAAATAAATAATTTAGGCATGAAAAATACAAATTTAGCATATATCATTCTAACTTTTACACATTTTATACATTAATTATGACAAAGTTAGCTAATACAACATATTTGTATTTGTCGATATTTGGCGATAACCTTAGCAAATTGTATTTATATATTTTACATGATTCATTTGAATAAAATTGTGAATATTACAACATTTAATTTGTATCACTAACTCATTTAGTTTTCTTTGAATATTTTATGTGATATTATAAATGCCAATCAACTACGCAGCATAAATTTATTTATTGTTGGAAATGAATCTTTTTTTGATGATTGAGAAGATGTTAGAAGTTTTAATTTATATGTAGTAATATTTTATTATTTCTTTTTGTATATTTAATTTCCTTTTACATTTTATTTAAAGAGTAAATAAAAGAAGAAGATATGCACAACTACTTTCATTTTCTAATTGTAGAATATAGAACTTGATCAAATAAAACAATAAACATAAGAAATGGAATTAAATCGAACTAAATTGAACCTAATAATTTTTACTTTGGTAAACTGAACGCCAAACCGAATCAAATTGAAACCGAACCGAAATCAAACCGAAACACAAATGATTTTAGTTTGGTACATATTCTCCCAAATCGAATAAACCGAAACTGAAGAAAACCGAACCGCAATCCGAATTGCCCACCTGACTTGAGTGGTCTTCAATTCTTCTATTGTTGCGAGAACAGATTTTGTTATACATATATTGTTTAATACCGCAAGAAACTTAATTCTTTCAACATTTACTTGACCTAACATAATACGGATCAGTGTGCTATCTTAGGAAAATTATAACAATAAATATTCACTAATATACAATAATGATGATAATAATCATAGTAATTTGCTAGCTGTTTATAATCTCATAATTCCCCCTCATCCATTGCTAGCTATTTGCTTTTTTAATTGCGTGATTTTACGCGTTTGCAAATAATGTCATGTAAATTTTAAGTATATATATGTACGTAATTATTTTATTAGAATATAGAATTTTCAAGAAAAATTTCACCCAAACTGTTGATACTAGTACATTTTGCACGAGGATTAAGATAGTTTGTATTATGCGGTGAAGAATTGTGCAAAAAAGAGAGAAATAAGTAAGAATGTACAATAATGGCAAAAGGGTCAGATAGGTACATGAACTAACTTAAAGTGTTCAATTAGCCCCTTATATAGGAAGTTCTGCCCGGCCGTCGCCAATTGAGGCGGTTCCCGGTGGAATTTTTTGATGAAATTTTTTGAGCATCTTCTTCATTAAATCTAGTTTACCCATACCAAATTTCAACTAAAAATTTATCCGGGAAGGCAGTCAAATGAGTTTTTGAAGATAAATGCGCAGTTAAACAACGTAGTACATTTCAGAAAATCATTTGACTGCCTTCCCGATTTTATTTTTAACTGAAATTTGATAGATGCTCAAAAAAATTCATCAAAAAATTCAACCGGGAACCGCCCCAATTGGCGCCGGCCGGGCAGAACCCCCTATATAAGGGGCTAATTGAACACTTTAAGTTAGTTTATATACCTATTTGACCCTTTAGCCTACAATAATTATTGTGAATCACAATTCTTTTTACTAATAAGAGAAAATGGAAATTTATTTTGGAATGCAAAAAGGAAATATGAAAGTTTAATGGGGAGAGGGAGTATATATTTTTGAGAGAAGACAAAGGAGTATATAATAACTACAAATTGTTTTGTAGATTTTTTTAGAAAATAAAAGGCATGACCGGGTGACAGTTATAAAGTGGTCTGTTGACCTCAATAATGAATAGTAGCAGTGAGCTTGAAAATCAGTATAAATAGACTCAAACACATACTTTGTACATTAAAAAAACGAATCCTAGCTAAGAACAAACTCAAGTCCAAAGAAGATCTGTCTGATCGGATCCGACCCGGCGGTCATGAGCTCAAGCAGTCATAGCAGTGGCAGTGGCCGCGGCGGTGCCGGTGCCGGAGTATTGGGTCCGTGCGGAGCATGCAAGTTCCTGAGGAGGAAGTGCGTGGCGGGATGCATTTTCGCTCCATTCTTCGACCAGGAACAAGGCCCCTCTGTCTTTGCATCGGTTCACAAGGTGTTCGGAGCTAGCAACTTTTCCAAGCTCCTCCGCCACATTCCGCCCCACCGCCGCCCTGACGCCGTCGTCACCGTCTGCTTCGAGGCTCAGGCTCGCCTCCGTGACCCTGTCTATGGTTGCTTTTCTCACATCTTCAATTATCAGAAACAGGTACATATACATGTATATAACTAACATATATGTCCAACTCCATCTTTCTCGATCTTCGGTCACAACAAACATGATAAATGATAAGGACCAACTCAATTTTTGCTAAATTTGATGTTATTTGAAGTATTTCTTTGACTGAATCCAGCGATTGCACCTTGAATTGACGTCATCCTTATTTGGAAAAAATGAAGCTACAATAGTTTATTCAATTTGTAAGATTAAGAAATTATCACTCCATGAATTTCATCATGCTTGTGCATGCACTTGCACCACCCAGTAATTTTTCAGCCCATTTGGTAATTTATATTTTCAATTTGTCCATCAATTTACGATATTTTTAAGTAGAATTAATTTTTTGGGTCAGATCTGATGTCGTCTGATATAGTCTGACTTGGTTTGATTGGATTGAACACTAAGTAAAATTATTCTTACTTTTTTTCCCTTTTCCATTTTTTTTCTACTTATTTTTATATTCTCCTTCATATTTTTGTTATCTTTTTACGGTCGTTCCACATTACTACCTTTTATGGACTATGGAGTACTATGTTTTTCTTTATTATTAACTTTGGTCCTTAACATTTTCGGAAATTGATTTTGTCATCATTTTCGGACGGATATCTAATATTGTGTACGTGTTTAAATTAATTAAGTCTGGTCTATATTTTTCTTGATCCATTATTAACTTCGGAAAAACATAATATTTTTCCCACACCGGATATCTCTAAAACAATTAAAAATTATATTACGATTATGCCTTACTTCTCCTATCATATTGACTTTTTAGGATGGAGCCCCAAATCTTAACATCATAAGAGATCGAACGAAACTTACATAGACCAAATCATAACATACCAAATTTAAGCATACCAAACTTGTCTTAAACAGAATAAACTAGACTAGACTTAATTCAACACATACACCAGACAATAACAGATCAAATTTTGAAAGTTGTTATTAAATACATAAGACTAGACATCTATATATCAAATTAGTTTAGGCCAGACCAGGTCAGATCAGAGTCACCAGTCAAAATCAAACCAATCAAAGAAAGGTGTATGTAGTCTAATTTAAAACATTCTTAGTATGCACTTTAATTAGACTAGTCTTAGTCCCATGCCATCTTATATTAGACCAGCCTTCACATAGGACAAACATATATTAAATCATATACAATTAATTTGATCAGATCGTTAATTTAATTCAGATCAAACTAGATCAAATCACATTTAAATAAATACGTCAAAATTTGAATGCAATTAAAAATATCATTACGCTAAAAGTTAATTGCCATACGTAATAATATTCATAGTTGAGAAGTGTGACCACAAACAAACATGGATTATGTGCCGACTATTTCACTGGTCTTTAATTTATGTGTTAGATATCTACGTGTGCGAAGTAAATGTTTTCGGCTAATATTAAAACTTTTTTAATGAACTGTACCTTTTAATCTCTCCGTATCTGTTTAGTGTTAGATGTCAATTCACGTTCTTGACTAGGATGAGTTTTGAGCCGCACATATATAAAATTATGATTTGAATAGACAAGATAGTTACTGGGTTAGCTCAAACGAATGTAGTAGAAGTTTGTATGAATGAAAGGTAAACTAAATGATGAATATGTTCAATTTACTTGTAAAGAAAATTTAACCTCCAAAATCTCATAGTTAAATTTGGGAGGTACAAGGTAAATTTAGGTTCTCTTTAAAATTAGGCTTTTGTCACTAAATGTAATATAAACAGGGTGAACCTAAAATTGAACACAAAACAATTTAAGTTCACTTCAGAAAACAATTTAATTAACCTAGGTTATTGCAGGTGCAATTTTTAGTTAATCGTGTTTGTATTTTACAACAAGAATATAGGTTATTAATAAATTTGGTTAACCTCAAATGACCTAGAGTATATTCTTCCAAATAACTTTTATGACATATATTAACCTAAATTCCTACCTTATTTATTTCCAAACAATATTTTACGCATGAACCTTAGTTCACTTAGATTAGCCTAGTTTTTATTTAAACTTTGGTTTATTTTATTGAACTAGTTTTACATAAATTCACTTTACCCAAAGAGAGCATTAAAGGTTAAAAACCGGAAGAGGTTTACCATGGAAGTTTAAAGTATTATAATTCCTCTTAAGATTTAAGACTAGCGTTTCAAGAGTTTATCTAAACCTGTTTATGATTCCGGTTTGTACACGAACCCAACTCAGAGCCTCCTTACTCCTTAATACTCCTTACTCATATCCTACATTTTATCTATATCAAAGTGATTTGTATAAAGTTTTCAATTTTTTTGTATTTTAGATGAATTGTTTGTTTTTAGAAAACAAGTTGCGTGTGTAACTAACAAATGCACGTCTTCTGTACAAAGTATGTATAAAAAGAGGATTTTTCAAATAAAACTGTTGATTTTCTTTGAACAAAATGTTACTCTGCTTTAAATATAGGTAACTTTCTCTACATATTAGGGTGTTATAATAGTAAATGGTAATTTATTCCAGGTGGAACACTTGCAAGCTGAACTTTCCTTCTTAGAAGCTGAGTTGGCAGCTCTCCGAGCCTCAATTCCACCTCCGCCGCTTAAGTTCCCCTCAGCGGTAAATATTCCGGCCGGCTACTCTGCAGCTACTCTGGTAACCTGTGGCTACGATGACCTCTCATCCCCGTTTCATCCAATTTCACAACCTGCAATGCAGTCGCACCGTCAGTTCGGAAGAGCTGCAGAAAATCCGGTCGAAGATGGGTCATCTGCTTCGTTGTCTGTCACCGGCGCTGGCGTTCTTCAAGAGTTGACCCTCCGAGCTATGAACGGGCGGCGCATTAACTAGTTCGGGCTTCTAGACAATAATGTATCACCCATCTGCGGCGTCCCTAATGCTCGATCGGTGAATTACTCAGTAATAATGTGTTTTAGTTCATAATTTTATTTAATTCAGTTGTTTAATTTCTTTTATTGTTTGGCTATCGAACTTGATTGGCGGGCTTGTTTGTTATCTTTCTCGTGCTTAAATACAATTTAATCTTTTTAAGATAAATAAACTTCCGTTCTTATATATAATTTGGTATTTTGAAATTAGTTACTCAATTTTTTTTTAATAAATTTCTCTTTAGATTCAAGTTGACATACTTAAAAAACAACCATTGATGATAATAAAATTGTGGTTGGGGTTTTACTTTTTTAAGGAAATCGCACATATTAAAATAACAAGATTCAGAACTCTTACATCCAACCCACAACTCAAACTATATATCCCTTCTTTCAGACTTACAATGACTACATGTTCTTCTCATTTCCTGATCAGACATATAAATGTTTTCATTCGTGTTTGTGCAACACCTTTCAAAGCAATAATTGACATTAAAACCAAGACTGGTCTAATCTAGTCAGATCATGTCTGAACTGGTCTGATCTTATCTCGTAATGTCTAGTCTCTATGTATTTAATAACCCCCACATCAATGAATCTAGCGATCCATACAAAAACCAACCACAAGTCCCATTTTTGAAAATAAAAAGTAAGTACGACAAAGAAATAGCTATCATGTTTCTTGCTTATACGTCAAATCTCTTAATATCTTTTAATTCTAATCTTAATTTAGATGATAAAGATGACACCTTAATTGTGCAAAAGCTAACTAAACATTATGTAAAACCATTGTAAAATGTGTTCTTTATTTACTACGTAGTCTTTGTGATCTCTCTTGCTGCTCAGGTCAGTTTATCCACTCCCCCTTCAACATGTGGTCTACTTTCTCAACATTGTTCTTCCTATTGCCTCCTCTGTCCTAATCGTACTTTGCCCGAAAAACTCCTTCTCCGCCTATCTCCGGCTTTTCTTTGCCAATGAGTCAAGTTATTGGTGTTTACAAGGGACCTACATTAGCTAGATCTCCTAGTATCGCTTCTTTACTAATTTCTCGTCTCTTCGGGTCATGCTGCTTTGATCAGGGTACATGATGGCAACATTATCATCTTAGCATTGCTTTTTCTACGTATGTTAGCGATATCATCACCACTAAACTTACTGCATGGTGGAAGATTGATTGCCGCGGAGAACTTAAATTGAGTCCTTCTCGGTCTCCAATGACTCCTTGGTGTAGTTGATGGCTAAATTCCCACTTTCTCCATCTATACATTTAGGAGTTAAAGAATTAGAAAATCAAAATTGGTTGACAATCGACCCAAACCGAACTGAATGAAATTAAATTAAAACTGAATGAAACCGAACAACACATCGAGGTCAGGTTCAATTTACGGTTTATGATTTTGGGTTAAAATCCCAACAAAACCGAAGAATGGACAATTGACGACCAAAACGTGTTAAAACTAGATCAAACCGATACAAACCCGACAAAAACCGGATATTTAAGAACTTTGTTAGTCACACAGGTCCATACATAAAGTAGTGACTTGTTTCTGGAAATGGGCTTTAATTTAGTCATATATTTAAGGAAAATCCTCCCCCCCCCCCCCCAACTAGGAGTAAATATTGACATGTTTTGGTATTATTAGGTTTTAAAACTAACAAACCATGACAATCATTACACTTATTTAGGGAATAAAAATATAGTACTCATACTTTCAAATTTCAAAACATTTTTACTTGATATTATTTCGTGAATTCCCCTTAAACATTATTCTTTACTATTTATTGCCCATGGTTACGCAAGCCCATTCATTTATCTCCCTAGTTTTTTTTATCTCCGTAGTCTCTACAATAATGAAAAGGTCGATAAGGATGTTTTTACTTGGACTGAAATTTTCTTATCTGGCCAGGTCTGGTATGATCTAGTCCAGTCTAGTCAGAAGTGGTCTAGTAAATGTCTGGACTCTTTGTATTTTATAACTATCCAAGTTTGATATGGTCTGGTCTGATGTGGTCTGATCTGAGACTGAAATTAGTCCAAAAAAACATCCTAAATAAAGGTAATAATGAAATAATGGGAAAAATAAAAAACTGAAATATAATGATGGCATGCATGCAATGAGACTGTTTGACCCGCGTAAAGAACACCATGTGCACGTCGTTGTTACGTTTAATAAACGGTCAAGCGTTTCATTTCTAAAATTAAAGCTTATTAAGTCTAGTTGTCTACCATCGGTGATTAATGATGGCAACAACTTAATAGCATTGTCGGATTGCTTCACCTCAACTACCTGCTTGAAGGACCCACACGCCGCTAATATGACGATTACTTGAAACCCACCGCCTCATAGACCATTACTCCAAAAATCATATATAGTACAAGGTACATTGAGATATTAATAATAAATAAATTTCTCAAAAATAGAAATAGAACAAAGTTCTAAAATGGCTCAAAATAGGACATATTTAGTCTTATTAAAAGCACTGTGATCACAATTTTTTTTTTAAAACAATACATATATTGTGGTGAACTCTTTAACCTTATTAATATATCAATTCTTGTTGCTACACATGTACTGTATCTACAATAAGAATTAAAAGATGAAACTCATTGCCTCTAATTATGCGCATCATTTTCTTACTTGTTACCGTCTTTTGAAGAGTTTCTAATTATGACTATTTGACCCAAGTGAAAACAAGGTCATGTCCACTTCATCGTTGAATGAAACGATCAAATATTTCATTGCTAAAATTCAAACGTAGTAAATGAGGTTAAGTTGTTTGTAGTATATGGTGGGTCATCGGTGATAACAATGACGTAACAGCATTGTCGGATTCCCTCACCTCACCCACCAGTACGTTCAAAGGACGCACACACAGCCAATCTGACCAATGCTTTAAACACAACGCCTTATAGACCATTACACAAACAATCATATATAGTCCAAGGTGCATTATTGTGGTAGTAATGATAAATAAATTGCTCAAAAGATGAGTAGAAATCGGCTAAGTTCTAAAACAACTCAAAACAGGACATATATATTTGACACCAAAAGTGTGTAATTTCCAACGTAATAAACAATAAAACTAACTAAAAACACAAACATATAAATGGGAATTACAAGAGTATCCGGAGGTATCCCATTTAATGCATTCATTGGTCCATGCCAACAAACCCCCACCTTTTATTTAACTCGGAAGGCAAACCACCAAAACCAGTGGGGTAAATGTCGGGAGACATTTACCAAGTTTTATTAAAATAGAAATAAACACAACTGAGAGGGGGATTTCACCAAAACCTCCCATAAACAGAATGTGAACAAGCAAGATGGAAGAGCAAAGCTTTAAAACAACACGAAAAATCTAAATGAAGATGTATGGAGTAGCTGCAGAATCAAGCTTGAGAATTCCTCAAAACTCAGATGATATGGACTCATTACCAATCCACTTGAAAGGCCCGGCCTGACCCTTTTTTGCCAAGAAGCTAGCTGCCTTATTAATGGGTAATTCTATTCCCAACCCCCAAATTGTTATTTACAGCCATTAAATAAGTTAAATATCTAGATTACCCTTCCAACACCAGGTGACCATCGTAAAAAGAGCACCGCCTTCTCCCACCGTCATTCTCCTTGGAGCTCTAAACACATCACAATATATATACAGATGTACAGTAGAAATCAAAGAAATCTAGCAAAAAAATCTGGACAAATGACGGGAAGCTTCTCCAGGCTGAGATTGATCCTTCGTACTCTTTCTTATTAATTTGGGCCTAATACAGCCCAAAATCAATATCCAAATCATATTGAGCCGGACATAAAATAAATCTGCCCAACTCCAGCTCAGAACAGATATCGACATCAAGATGGAAATATCGGAGCGGCAAACCACTAAGCGGGAAACTCCCACCTTATCACCAGGTAAAGTAGATTTTTCCAAATTTAGAATGAATATTTGTTAACTCTGCATTATTAAAAGCATTATCATATAAAATCTGCTCATGTGAATGGACATCCTGTTCACCTGAAATCGATCCATTCTTCGAATGTACTAACAAAATTTCTAAGCTTTGTGCTAAAATACGCCGGATTATTATCTCTTGGATTCAAGATTTTACTTCCACTATTGTCTCCTATCCCCCACTCTAGAAATTAATATCTAAATGGCCACTTATAGTTTCCATCTCCCTCATATCATCTCTAGGAGATAAGTCTATCTATCTCAACCCGTCATTCTGGTAATGATACTAAGCAAAAGCGTAAGATACACATGCCATCCAATTATCCAAATTTTCATACACTCCTTGTGTGACATCTCATTGGTTGCAACAATTGTTTTGGTGGATAGGCCAATCCAACTAAAATCAGAGGAAATTCAATAAGGTATTTATTTATTTACGGAGATCATGGAATTAATAAGATATTTGTTTTTAACTTTTAATTTTGTTTTTGTGTTTTTTAATCTATTACAACATCTATTCTCATTAAATACCAACATTCTTGATTCAATTTCAACCTTGTGACCTCTTCTTTGGAGTATCATAATGATGTCATTGATCCACAAGGTATTTGACTTTTAAAAATCTTTAGAAATGAAGAAAATTATCAATGTTCTAAATTTGAAAAAATCTACTTTACCTAATGGTGAGGTGGGGGTTTATTGGCATGGACCAATGAATGCATTAAAATGGGATTTTTTAATTATATAACTAAAAAGTGATACCTCCAAGAATATGGCATATCAAATCTACAGGCATGGACCAAAGAATTCACAATAGAGAGAGTTTCACAAATAGGACTAAATGAAATTTTAATTGTCAAAATAGGATCATAACTTAAAAATTCCTTAAATAGGACTAGCTATCCAATTCTACCTTTGCTTTGTTTTAATACAATTCATATTTCATTAATAATTAAAACATAAAAGCAATAAAATAACTTTATTTATAATAAAAATGTAAAAAAAAACACGAAATAAATATTAAATAAAAATAAAAAATTAGAAAATAAAAAACTTATAAAATTCAAATTAAAAACATAAAAATGTAGAATATATTAAAAACAAATATGAAGGTCTATGTTGCCGCCTCAGCAACCTCCCAACACCACTAGCTCCGATCGCCGGAAACAAATGC